AATACAAATCTTGCCATGAGCTTCTACAATGTTCAGACAGTGAGTCAGCAGAAGGGAATTAAGGACTCACTCTAAAGGGTCATCATGGTGGGTAGAGTGGTTTCATTGCCCTGGTGGGTTTAGGAAGCAAAACAGTTCACTTGACCCTAAAGAAATAAAGGACAGGACAAGATGAATCTGGAAGAAAAGTCCTGGACCTCTTGAAATTGTCTGTCTTATAGTGTATGTCTTTTTTGTTTCAATTTCCCTTTAAAATTGTCTGCTGTGACCGTCTGTCTGCTGTAAATATGTACTAAGGGTAATTTTTACCTGTTAAAAAACAGCATTCATTGGTCCTGTGAGCCTTCCCTGTGAAGCCCTGGAAATCAGTTATCTGCACTGGGCTGAGAGAGACTCTGGAAGAAAGGGAACAACAAGGAAATGAAATGACCAGGGAGGGAGAGGCTTGCAGGGGGAGAGAAAAGCAGGAGAAGCAAGAATGAGCACCACGTGCAGAGAAACCAGGAGGAAGAGGGGAGAGCGGGGAAGGGGAGTCCACGCTGGGCATGGAAAGAATGAGGAGGAGCAGTGCTTTTTAGGGAGCAGGGAGACAGACACAACTGAAAAGAAAGAGCCCTAGAGAGAGAAGAAGAAAATGATACAGGAGGTCCCTTTAGGACAGGCTCATTAAGCGGGCAGCCTGGAACACCCACTTGCCCATCAGGAGGGCATGTGAAGAAGCAGAGGGCGTGTGCCTCCCTCTTGTTCTCCCCCTCCTTGTCCCATGAGTCAACCCCAAGCAATTTTCTATTTTCCCCTTGCAGTCTTAATGCCCACTGCAGTTCCCTTTCATCATCTAGGGTTCAAACTGTCTCCCTCACTGACTCCATGGTTTGTACCAATCAGCAAGATAATATTCTAATCAGTGCAAGATAAACTCTTAAGCAGATCCCAAAGTCCCAGCTAACTGAAATAAAGCAAGATAATGGGTAATGGAAGGCCGATGGCTTGGGGGTTCTGTGGTTTGTTGTTGCTGTTTTTGCCAGTGTTTGCACTGGTATGAAAGAGCTCATTGCAAATTCTTGAGAATTTGGGCTTCTTAAAATGAATTGATCAGAGGGACACAGAAATGGCTGTGCAGGTGACTACAGAAAATCCGTACTAGGAAATGAATCAACTTCTGTCCATTAAAGCTGTCTCTTTTTTGGTCTTCTAGGTAGAAGAACGGTCAAGGCTCAACAGGCAGAGTTCACCCGCCATGCCTCACAAGGTTGCCAACAGGATATCTGACCCAAACCTGCCCCCAAGGTCAGAGTCCTTCAGCATTAGTGGGGTTCAGCCTGCTCGGACGCCCCCCATGCTCAGACCAGTCGATCCCCAGGTACATTCTTTCCTTCCTTCCATCAGCCATTCTAATACAGTGTACAGTAAAACCTATTAGAAGCCCATGGAATTGTAACATGGATTCAGGCATAGGACCAATCAAATTATGACCCTTAATGTAGAATTTATAGTAATACATAACGCCCCACTGAATTTGAAGAATGAGGGAAGGGTGAGAAAGAAAAAATCACCACCCTTAACTTTGAGTCA